TAACATAAAGATTTATTTTACATGATAACAAAATTGTGAGGTTGTGCTCTTTAATTTATTTATTTTTACTTCAGTATGAGTAATTGATTCCTTTACAAATTTATCAAAGAAAATCGATTGATGTTAGTCTATATTAAGTTTCCTAAAACAAGTTCGTCCAAGTCCCTATATATCGAAGTTTAACAAAAAATTTCTTTGATTGGTTTATTTCTAGTACATGCTCATGTGCCATAAATTGGTAAAAAATAACAAATTAAACAAATTGACTTAGGTAAAAGTCAAACTTCACCTCCTCTGGACATTGCATCGACTATTGATCCTGGCAAATTAAATAATCTTGAGAAAAATTTATGTACGTACTAAATATTCATAGCGTGGATAAAAGTTTTACGTGTAAATTTGCATTACAATTTGAGATTAGTTTGCTCCACGGGGGCTGCCGTACGATACGTTTACTATAATAATACAAAGCACAAAATGTTTAAAAAGAACTTAGGATTCCTATTCAATTTGAGAATCTTATAATTAGCAATCAAAATTAGTATCCTACCACGAAAAAGAACCCATAAACATAAACTCTTAATTGTTTGCTAGATCCTAATATTACCAATGTATCCAATATCAAGTTTGTTTCTTCGAATGAATTGTTTAGTTTTGGAAAGGTATAAATTGTGCTCAAAATATTTCTTTAATCCTAATAAGATACAACTATATAAAGTATTTTATAAGAAAATAATATAAAATATGAGATGTGTCATGGCATCATCCTAAAATATTCAACAATAAAAACAATAAAATTATGTAATATAAATATTGCTAATTAAAAAGCCATAATAAAAATAAACATAATCTAAAAGTACTAAGTCATGCTAAAATAAGTAGACTAATTAGGGAGTATTAATTACATGACTAAACGCTAAAAAAAAGTTATGCATTTTTATCTAAATTATTGCAAAACAAAAAATAGATATTCAATACATTCTCGTTTGTAGTATTGAATTGAATGTCTTTTATTAGCATTACTATTGATTTGATTTTGGTTTGGGCTTTTGTCAGCATTATTTAATTTACTAATATTAATGGCTATAAAACTTACTGGAACATTCAAAAGTACGTTCTAAGTCCAACCTTGAAATAATACCTTAAAAGATAAAATTATGAAAAATTTTAAGAAATATTTATAAATTACATCACAATAAGTATATTTATATATTAAATATATCTAAAATTTCTATATATGTAATGTCGGGTTGGTTTGGTTTCGGTTGACTTTCTTTAGTTAAAACCAAACCAATTAAGGTCGGATTTTTTTTTCCAACACCAAACCATAGTCGAGTTTTTTTTCTCGGTTTGACTCGGATTATCGGGTTGGTGTGGTTTGTCGGTTTCCTTTGTACACCCCTACATCTAATATATTTAGAACTCAGAAATTTCACAAAAAAATCCATGTCTCCAAAATGGCAAAATCTAATCATGACCGACGCAGACACACATTCAATAAGAACATACCAGAAAAAAGAAGAAGAAAATATTTAAAGTATTTATTCGGATTACTTTATTCCAGAAAGATTTAAAGGATGAAAAATAAAAAGTTAAAGGCATGTTAGACCACATACAATTTAATCAAGATTCAAGTAGTGTATAATTTGCTGAAGACAAAAAAGAAAATTAACTTTAATAACCTGAGGCGTAAACATTAATATTTGTGGTGATTTTTAGACTCGGTTCTATAGAGAATTGAAAAATGTCCAATATTTGACTTGTATTGGTTCCACAATCAACTTTTCTATTTTATAATATTTATAGTATAGAACTATAGATGATAATTATAGAATTTGATTTCCATTCAAACAATGAATGAACGAATTTTTCTTTACAAATTTGACTCTAAGAATGTCATGTTGACTGGGACTTTGCAATATTTGAATTGCTTTTACATTTTTAGGCATTAACGTTTAAGACATAATTACGTGCCTCGCACGTAAAGTTTTAAAACTGAAAATAGAAAAAACGATAAATTAAACACGATTAATTCTTGTTACAAAAAAAGAGTTGATCATTTCATGCATCATATGAGGATATAAAAAATACCATTCTTTTAGCTAATTCATACAAGAAAAGTCTCCGAAAGGAGTAGAGATGGCGGCAATAATTATTTTCAGTATGGACTTGTATGAATTATTAGGTTAGCACTTTTGAAAAGGAAAATAAGTTAAATCTTATCTTATTCAATTTCAAAGAATGCCAGGACAATTAAATAGATAGAACTCACAAATTTTCTGTGTCAATATTCTCCCTTGATCAATTATATTCTACACGTGAATGATTAACCTAAAAAGATTGTACTTGATAGTAGCCTATATTATGCGATGTAAATGCTATTTATGCTCTAGACCATACTTTATTGTTTTAAGTGTTAAATTATAATAAAATGCTCTAATTGAGGTTTTTATGCTTTGCAGGAGCTACTCCGAGTTAGTAGGAGGATATAGAGTGTTTTGGGATCAAACATGTAGATACAAGACCAATCGAGAAGAGCTCGGATGAAAACGAGCAAAAAAAGGCGAAGAAAAATTAGGCAACAATCTACCGCGACCACGATAGGGCCGCGGCTGGAACGCGGTGAAAGAAAGACGAAAAACAGAAAGTCTAAAATGACCGCGGTCGGACCGTGGTTGGCCCGCGACCGCAGTCGATCTAGAGAAGGCCAAGAAAGTTTAAGGGCTAAAGTGTAAAGCATGGGAAACTTATCCTAACCCTATATAAATTCAATAAATTCGCCCAAGTGAAGGTTAAGCATGTTTTTAGACTCAATTGGAGGCAAGAACAAGTGTGAGAAGATCAAGACACCATTAGAGTTTTTCATTCTTCTTCTTGTTATCATTATTTTGTGAATTATGAATGATTTTATGGTTTTATCTTGTTTTACCATGAGTAGCTAAACATTTAATCTAGGGTTGATGGAACCAATTGTTGGATGAAATCTTGATTACGTTTTGATATAATTAAGCCATTTCTTATTCTATAACTGTTCAACTATGTGTTTTCCTATGATTAATTGAAAGGACTCTTGATTAATCGTGTCTAGTTACCTTGTGTTGCTTGAGAAAGAACACTAGGTTAGATTATTGTTGAACACCACCACTTTCGGGTAAGTTAAGAAATAAATTACTTGAATTTAAAAGCGGGGTTAGAGATAACGAAGTTTTGATGGGATAATTCTGAGTTGCACAAATTGTCAACTAGAGCAGTTCGAGAGAATACTGCTAGTAAATTATCGTAATTGATAGAGAGATAATTGCGGTAACCCAGAACTCATATTCTTATAGAGTATTACGGCGAGATTATAGTGAACATGTCAGGAATTAATCTGACAATTGGGGAAATCAATAACCCTAGACCATTTTACCTTTGAATTCAACTCCATTCTTGATTATTGCTAGTTTTATTATTGTTTCTCATTAGTTAACTTAATTCTACTCATTATCTATTAAACTCTTGCATCCGGGGATTATTTGGGCTATTCATTAGCAGTGTTAAAAGTTGTAGTAAATAGGTTAGTTCCCTGTGAGATTCGACTCCGGACTGAACCGGATTATATATTTGCAGCGACCGCTTAGTCCTTTTTACAAGGCGTAGTTGGGCGTGATCAAATTTTGGCGTCGTTGCCGGGGAACTAATGGTGTTATTTATTGCAGCTTTGAAGAATTGCTAGGATTATTAGTTTAGATAAATTTTACGTGGTGTTAAAAATATTTCCATTGAAATTCTCACGGTTGAACTCTTATGTAACTCAGGTGCATGCCTAGAAGCTCTTCGAGAACTGGTGAACTCTTTGAAGGACTCTCAGATCCCGAGAAAGCATTCCGGACATTGAACTGGGCTAACAGGAAGAGAAAACAGTTGCAACAAAACGAACAAATTGAAATTGAAATGGGTGACGTAGATCCTGTCAATGGGAACAACAAGAATGATCGAGATGACCCAAACATTAGAGTGGTAGCACCTCTTATGACAGAAGCTGCTCTTTATGATTGGGCGCAACCAACTGCGGACAACCTGGCCACAACAATTGCGGTTCCTCAGATACAAGCGGAGACATTCCAGGTTACCAACAACATGTTGCACCTATTGCAGAATAAAAGGCTGTTCTACGGGTCATACATCGAAGACCCACAACAACGTCTGAAGAACTTCCTATCAATATGTGTCACTCAAAGACAGTCGAATGTGACTCCTGAGGCAATCAAATTATTATTTTTCCCATTCTTAGTAACATGGAAGGCTCAAACTTGGCTTAATTCGCTCCCAATAAACTTCATTGCTACTTGGGAGGAACTAGTCAAGCAGTTCTTAAACAAGTTTTATCCACCCAACAAAACTGCGAGGCAGATTGATGAGATATTGCAATTCAAGCAGAAATCGACTGAGACTTTGCAAGAGACCTGGGAGATGCTTAAGGGCATGTTGGTGAAGTGCCCTCACCATGGCATTCCAAATCAGATGCTGGGACAGAGATTCTATATGGGTTTGGCTGACAGTCTGAAGGCCAATGTAGATACTTCTATCGGGGGTGCATTCTTGAGCAAAACTTTCATAGAGTGCATTCAGGCTGGATGACGAGAGACACAACACTCACTCCAATAGTGTATTCTGTCGCTCTTGACCCCAATAACACACATGCAGAAAACATAGACACTCTTATGACCTAGATGAGCTTGCTGACAAAGAAAATTGATGAGATGGGTACGAAACAGGTGCACATTGTGGATATCACAAATGGAGGCTTGTGCACTCCTTGCATAAATCAGTCATATGTGTGCTCGTAGAGTGGAGAGAATGACAACTAGGGATTCAGAGAAGACATGAATTATGTCAATAATTTTGGAGGTCAGAGGCAAGGTGGGCAGCAATGGGGACCAACAGCAAACCAACCGTACAAACCGAACCAACCATAGCACAACCCCAATCCAGGAGGAGCACGACCACAAGGCCAAGCCATGACTTATCAAAGGCAACAGGGCTATAATCAGCAACACCAACAACAATTAACCTACCAACCACCTCATCAGCAGCATGATAGTAACATGATCGAAATCAGGGGTATGCTGCAACAACTCATTGAGACAAATGGAAAGATGCAAGAGAAGTTAGTTGCACATGATTCAACAATCAAAGGCATTGAAACTCAACTGGGACAGTTATCTATGGCCTTGAACAATCGCCCACAAGGAACATTGCATACAGATACAAACGTTAATCCAAAGGAGCAGAACCAGAATCATCTCATGGCAGTGAGTCTCAGGAATGGGAGAGATTTAGACAGGGAGCAAGAAGTTGCTCAATCCAGGAGAGAGACAATGCCAACTACTCCAGCTGCTCCAGTTACATTAGAGATCGATGAGTCGGCAGAGCTCACCGAGGTTGTAAGCAAGCAAGCACATGTTGACAAGGGTAAGGAGAAGGAAGGTGAACAACTCCTAGAACAGGTAGTAGAAAAAGCTTCCAGCAAAGAAAAGACGCAAAGCAGTAGGCAGAGTTTGATTCCTGCACCATTCCCTCAGAGGTTGGCAAAGCAAAAGAAAGATGATCAATACATGAAATTCATGGAAATGTTCAAACAAATTCAACTAAATATTCCACTGATGGATGTTTTAAGGGAAATGCCAGGGTATGCAAAAATAATGAAGGACTTGATGTCGCGAAAATTTGACTTCCAGGGCCTGTCCACTGTAACTCTAACGCAGACCTGCAGCGCGGTAGTGACAAGAACTATGGCTCAAAAGGTGTCTGATCCAGGTAGTTTCACTATCCCATGCACCATTGGGAGTTATGCTTTCGCTAAAGCATTGTGTGATTTGAGAGCTAGCATAAACTTGATGCCCTTGGCAATCTACACAAAATTGGGCATTGGCAGAGCTAAACTGACCTCAACGTTATTGCAACTGGCTGGTCGCACAGTGAAAAGACCGACTGGAATTCTTGATGATGTGCTTGTTCAAGTGGGGAAATTTTTATTCCCTGTAGACTTCGTCATTATTGACTGTCAAGTGGATGAAGAGATACCAATCATTTTGGGCAGGCCGTTTCTAGCCACTGTGAGAGCATTGATTGATTGTGATACTGGGGATTGAAAATGAGGTTGAACAATGAAGAAATCATATTCAATGTTCAGCAATCTATGAGGAGACCCAGCGAATTTGCAAATTGCTCATTAGTGGAGGTCGTAGATGTGACACAACAAGAGGAGAATGAGACTATTAATGTCAAGGATTTGCTAGAAGCTTGCTTGATGAATCTGGAAAATATGGATGGTGAGGAGTTGGAACAGTGGGTCATGGCTCTTGAAGGTCAAGGGTTCTGGGCAAGGGAACCCCTGTTCGAGCCTTTACACTTAGAAGAAAGAACAACATCGCCTGCGAAACCATCGATAGAGGAACCACTACAGTTGGACCTAAAACCGCTTCCAGCTCACCACAGGTATGCTTTCTTAGGGCCTAATTCTACTTTACTTGTTATGATATCATCTGTTTTGCTAGCTGTGCAGGTAGAGCAACTCTTACACGTGCTACAGGAATATAAGACTGTCATTGGTTGGACCATGACAGACATAAAGGGTATCAACCCAGCTTTTTGTATGCACAAGATTCTCCTGGAAGAAGGGCATAAACCTTCCAGAGAACATCAACAAAGGCTGAACCCCAATATGAAAGAGGTGGTGAAGAAGAAAGTGATCAAATGATTAGATACGGGTACATCTTCCCCATCTCTGACAACAATTGGGTCAACCATGTTCAGTGTGTGCCGAAAAAAGAGGAATGACGATCGTACAAAATGAGAATAATGAGTTTATCTCGACTCGTACGGTCACGGGATGGCGAATTTGCATGGATTACCGGAAACTGAACACAACCACTCGGAAGGACCATTTCCCCTTGCCTTTCATTGACCAGATGGTAGACAGGTTACCTGGGCACTCCCACTTTTGTTTCTTGAACGGATACTCGGGGTATAACTAGATCTCAATAGCCCTGGAAGATAGAGAGAAAACGTCTTTCACTTGTCCGTATGGCATCTTTGCCTTTCGGAGAATGCCCTTTGGACTTTGCAATACATCTGCTACATTCCAGCGGTGCATGCTAGCCATTTTTACTGACATGGTTGAGGATATTATGGAGGTGTTTATGGATGATTTCTCCGTGGTGGGGGATTCATTCGAAGATTGTCTTCACAACATAAGAAGAGTGCTCAAAAGATGTGTGGAGATAAATCTTGTGCTGAATTGGGAGAAATGCCATTTTATGGTACAAGAAGGAATAGTGTTGGGGCATCGAGTGTCCAGTAAAGGAATCAAGGTTGACCATGCTAAGGTTGCCGTAATTGAGAAGCTGCCAACGCCTACTTCGGTCAAGGCAGTGAGAAGTTTTCTTGGGCACGTCGGGTTCTATAGGCGATTCATAAAAGATTTCTCTAAGATTGCTAACCCTTTATGTAAACTCCTTGAAAAGGATTAGCCCTTTGTGTTTTCTAATGATTGCAGGTTAGCATTTGAGGAGCTGAAGAATAGATTGGTGACTGCATCCATCATTGTTGCACCCAACTAGGAGCAACCGTTCGAGCTCATATGCAATGCAAGTGACTATGCTATTAGAGCAGTCTTAGGGCAATGAAAAGACAAGATGATGCACCCTATTTACTTTGCAAGCAGGACGTTTAGTAGTGCACAACTTAATTACACTGTCGCAAAAAAGGAAATGCTCGCTGTAGTGTTTGCCTTCGACAAATTCAGGTTGTACTTAATTGGCTCAAAAGTTATTGTTTATACTGACCATGCAACAATTAGGTACTTGATAGCAAAGAAGGAGTCAAATCCACGCTTGATTCGCTGAGTTTTATTGCTACAAGAATTCGATCCAGAAATTCGTGACAGAAAGGGGACGGACAATCAAGTGGCAGATCACCTCTCGAGGTTGGAAGGAGCAAAAAAGAGAATGGAGGTTGAATATATCACAGAGACATTCCCAAATGAAAAGTTACTTGCTATGATAATGGAGGAGGCTCCATGGTATGCTGATATTGCTAATTATTTAGCAAGCGGTATTGTACCTTATGAACTCTCTTCAATTCAAAAGAAAAAGTTATTTCGCGATTGTCGGTATTATTATTGGGATGAACCTCTACTATTTAAAATATGTGTAGATAACATGATCCGGAGGTGTATCCCCGAGAAAGATCAAGATGCTATTTTGCAGGCTTGCCATGCTTCACCATATGGTGGACACTTTTGAGGAATTCGGACAGCGGCTAAGGTGTTGGAATCGGGTTTGTATTGGCCAACCTTTTCAAGGATGCCCACACTTGGGTCAAAAGTTGCGATGAATGCCAAAGGACATGCAACATTTCTCATCGTCACGAGATATGTTGCGACCAAAAACACTCATGCAAGTGCATGTGATCGTCAAGTAATAGAGTAGTGAGTAGAGTATCGTTCCCACGAAGAATTATGATTAACTATTGACTACTTCAAACTCAAATTAATTTGTCTATTCAAGAGGTTTTCCACAAAATAGAGATGTAATTGTTTTACTACCTAACTACCAAGCAATAATCTAACTAGAGCAATTAACCAAACAAATAACAATTTCGAGTAACAAACAGTAGGAGAGGATATTCCAGGGTCACGTGCTAATTAACAATTGTGTTGTGTTCTTGGCTTAAAATGACTAATCAATTTATCTGGGTTATTGATTGACAGGGTTGATATTACTCATAAGAATCTGTCGAGTTCTTACTCGCCTATTCAAGTTAACTCAATGCCTATATGTCTATGGAATTAAAATTAACAAAAATGCATTTACAATTCCCATATTTCAACCAAACAAGGCAATTGGGTATATGTCTATCCCAATTGCTAATCTGTTCCCCGAGGCCCGGGTTCAAGAACTTGCTCTATTTAATTCTATATGCAATCTAAGGTTCCCACTTTCGAGTTCATCTAAAGATTCGTAGATAGTATTTCACTGTTAGCTACTCAACAAAATAATTAAAAGCAGAATTAAATAAACAACCCAATAAGATAAACCAGCTTTGTCAAATTAAACTTCAAACAACAACATTCATGTTTCACCCATGACCCCAGAACAATAGGTTTTAGCCACTCATACTAGTGTTCATCACAAATAGGTTCAGTTTCATCACAAATAGCAAAACAAAGAGAAGAAAAGAAGAACTTGATGGTCAAATCTCCTCCTTGCCTCTTGCCTCTCTATTTCTTGTACTAGACTATGAAAACCTTCATAAAACTTCCTTGGGTGAGCTTGACTTTATATAGGTTAAGTGGGTTTTCCTCCAGATTTCCAATTTTGCCCCTAAAAAATTCTTCCCGAAATTTGGACTAGCGCGTGCAGCTAGACACGCATCTAACTGCGCTAGTTGGCTGAGGATTATGTCTTGGACGCTAAAAGTAGCACGGGCGCGCACCTGGGCGCGTATGTCCAGTTTTCTGTTTCATCGTTTCTTTTCCTCGTCTTCAAGCATACTCAGCCCCGAGGAGTCTTTCTTGCTCCAGATTGGTTCCAATCACACTTTTAAAGCATCACATGGGCTCCTCAACCTGAAATGTATACAATTTACAATTAGAGCCTCTTTTTCATCAATTAACCATATTATGATATAGGAATATAATCAAGTGGAAGCATAAACAATCGCCAAATTACCTAGATTTAGCCTATTATCAAGATACCAATGACTACAAAGATGTGAAGGTTTTTGACATGTGGGGGATCGACTTTATGGGGCTGTTTGTCAGCTCATACGGTAACAAATATATATTGGTAGCGGTTGACTATGTCTCCAAGTGGGTCAAAGTAGTGGCTCTCCCGACCAATGATGCAAAAGGGGCAACATGTTTCCTAAAGAAAAACATCTTCACACGTTTTGGCACCCCGAGAGCTATAATCAGTGATGGTGGAACCCATTTTTGTAATAGAGCATTCGCACGCCTGTTGGAAAAGTATGGTGTTCGCCACAAATTAGACTCACCTTATCACCCACAGTCGATCGAGCAAGTTGAACTGTCAAATAGGGAGATTAAAAGTGTCCTTACAAAAACAGTGAATGCAACAAGGACCGATTGGGCGAAGAAGCTGGATGATGCATTATGGGCGTACCGCACAACATTCAAAAGTCTAATTGGTATGTCACCGTACAAATTGGTGTTTGGAAAGACATGCCACCTTTCGGTAGAGCTAGAACATAAAGCACTTTAGGCATTGGGGCAGTTGAATTTGGATATGGAGACCACACGCACTAGCAGAATCACCGGGCTGCATGAGCTCGAGGAATTTAGGTTCCAGGCATTTGAGAGTGCTAGACTATACAAGGAAAGGATGAAACTAATGCATGATAAGCACATCTTAGATCGAAACTTCAAACCTGAAGATCTAGTGTTGTTACACAACTCGAGATTAAGATTGTTTTCGGGTAAGTTGAAGTCCCGATGGTCAGGACCTTTCAGAGTATTGCAAATGTTCTTAAGTGGAGCTGCGGAGATTGAATCAGAAGATGGGACAAATAAGTTCACGGTGAATGGGCAAAGGCTAAAACATTACCTTGGCATAGCCGACGAAAAATGTGATAGAGTGGTAATAACTTTGGAAGAGCCCCAGTACGCGAATGAGGAGTGATAATCAAAGCCTGCGTTGTGCCGCAACATTAAATCAGGCGTTGCATGAGAGGAAAACTATGTTTTCTTTTGTTTCCCTTTTTGTTTTGATGTTGTACTTGATGTGTACGATACTAACCCTTTTATTAGTGTATAGGGCAAGATTGGTGCATATTGGAAGAAGTCGGGGTCAAGAACCAACTCCAAAAAGGTAAGAATTTTCGGAAGCCCGTGACCGTGACCGCGGCCCGGGCGCGACATTTTAGACATATTCTGTTTTTTGGCCACCGCGACCACGATGGGATTGTGACACAGGCGCGATGAATCACGACTATTCTGTTTTGTTTTTCTTTTTTTCACCGCGATCGCGGTCGGGACGCGGGTCGGTGCAGTGAATTACGACTATTCTGCCCGCCCAGGTAAGTTCTAATTAACTTTGTTATTTTTTTTATTTTTATTTTTATTTTTTTT